GATCCCCTTTCAAAAAACAAGGATTCTGGCTCCCACAGACCAGTTACATAAGTCCATTTCCTTTAGGAAAGTACCCCTCATATTGACTTGTTACCTGTATAAAAGACACCAGTCCACAGAGTCAATCAATCAGATTCCAACCTCTCCACCATGGGCAAGACTAAAGAGCTGTCTAAAGACCTCAGGGACCAGACTGTAGACCTGCACTTGGCTGGGATTGGCTACAAAACCATCAGCAAGCAGCTTGGGGAGAAGGTCACAACTGTTGGTGCGATTATTCGGAAATGGAAGGGAAAAAAATGGACATCAATCAACAATCAATCACCCTCGGTCTGGGAATCCACACAAGATCTCGCCCCTTGGGGTATTGATGATCATGAGAAAGGTGAGGTATCAGCCAAGAACTACAAGGGAGGAACTTGTTAATGATCTCAAGGCAGCTGGGAGCACAGACCCAAGACAACTATTGGTAACACACTACACCATAATGGATCAAACCCTGCAGCGCCCGCAAGATCCCCTGCTCAAGAAGAACATGAAAGGCCCTTCTGAAATTTGACAATGAACATCTGAATGATTCAGAGAAGGCTTGGTAGAAGGTGATGTGGTCAGATGACACCAAAATGGAGGTGGAAACATTATAATCTTGGGGTGTTTTCTCTGCTAAGGGGACAGGATGACTTCCCTCCATGTACTGTAACATATTGGCCGATAGCCTCCTTCCCTCAGCCAGGACACTGAAAAGGGTCATGGATGGGTCTTCCAGCAGGACAATAAACCTGAACATACGGCACACAACACAGGAGCTGCTAAAGAAGAAGCACATTTAGGTGATGGATGGGCCTAGCCAGTCTCCAGACCTTAATCCCATAGAAAATCTGTGGAGGGAGCTGAAGTTTTGAGATGCCAAGAATCAGCCTCAACACCTGAAGGATTTGGAGTGGACCAAAATCCTTCCTGAGATGTGCACAAACCTGGAGACCAACTACAAGAAGTGTCTGACCTCTGTGCTGTCCAACAAGGGTTTCTCCACCAAGTACTAACACATATTTTGCAAGGGGATCAAATACTTATTTCCCACAGTTTAATACATATCAAATTGTATCTTTTATATAATGTACATTTCTGGATTTCCTTTTTGATATTCTTACTCTCACTGATAAATTAAACCTACCATTACAATTATAGACTGTTCATTTATTTGTAATTGGGCAAACTTACAACATCTGCAAGGGATCAAATACTTATTTCCTCCACTGTATGTCAGTGAGCGCCTGGTCGAACAGAAAAAGCCCATCAAAGGTCCCATTAAAAAAGGAAAAACCTCCCTCTATTCAGCCAGCCTCCAGTCCAAGATAAGTCCAGGTCCCAACAGCAGCTCTCATCTCTGAAGAATGACTTTTCTCTGTTCTCTAGGCTGTACATTGTATCTGAGATACGTGATGGAAGTCTGGATGAGTTTTTTGGGATTAATTATGAGAAATATAATAAACTTGAAAACCAGGCATGTCCATCATCATTGTCACAAATGGGCAAGCTCAGAACTGGTACCAGTCAGACTTGGTTGGTGGGCTGTTTGGAGGACCTGATGTCTTTACAAGAGAATGCATCCCACCAAACAGTTAATGCCTCATCCTTGATGGGGCTACTCTTGTGAACATGCTACGACCTGGTGCTGCTAAGATGTTTTTTTATTATGCGCAGAAAGCGTTCTCACCATACATCCTGTCTCAGCTGGAGCATGTCAGCAGAATTGATGTCGTGTGGGATGAATATTTCCCCGAAAGTCTGAAGGCTGAAACACACAGCAAGAGAGGGAAGGGAGTTCATAGACGCGTTGAGTCATCCAGTGTCATTCCTGGAAACTGGCCAGAGTTTCTGCGCATTGAAGACAAGAAGGCTGAACTGTTCTTCTTCCTGGCAACCAGTGTGACAGCCCTCAACACTGGCAAACAAATAATCAGTACTTGCAACATGCACACATGAGGAGGCTGATACCCGCATCCTACTGCACCTAGGAGATGCTGTGAAGGAAGGGTATAGCAAGGTGACAATATGCACAGTTGACACGGATGTGGTATCACAGCAGCCCAATCGACCCAGGCCTGTCGTGAACTCCTCCTGAATGTGTCAAGGTAGCAATTCATTACACTGCCCTTTGCCACTGTGGTGGACTGTGTTTTCAGAACTAAGTCTGCATTTAGTTGAAAACCTGTAATATTTCATATATATTATGTAACATGTATGACTTCACCATAATAAATATGTTAATGGTTTACTGTGTATTTTGTTCCCTGAATACCAGATACATATAGTTAGCTACATTCTAGCATGTTGTAAATAGTACCAATGCATTCNCCATCCTTGAAAATGTAGGATTAGCCACCAGAATCAAGATCCTAGGTGGTCTAGATCCTAAACTACTGGTAAAATAACAACTGATGGCGGCCATTTTGAAAATGGACGCCATTGGCGCCATTGGACAAATTTGCGATGGCCCTATAGCCAAAAATCTTCCTTAGGGCATGCTCTAACAGTGTGACAAATGTCATGCTTTTATCATCAAAAGCACAATTCTTTCACATATCTGCTGGACTACAACGGGAGGCTTTGGAGGCTTGATACAGTGGAGGTGAGCAGGTGGTTGGTCAGAAGCTAATAGGCTGCAGGTGAAGCTAATTATGCTAATGACGAGCATGCAGCCAGCCAGGCCAAAGGTTAATGGTCAGGTTGGGGAATGAAAATACACAGCGTGATTACAGTAATATATAAGCCATATTTTGACAATTTGATGGGGGGAAAGATCCTATAGTAATGCATATGAGAAACATTTTCTAAATATTATGGTTTGAATCTAACTTTCACTGTTTTTCAATTCTAAGTCATTATTTTTGGAAAGTTTCTCATTATTAGGTTAATAGGATTTCTTTAAGGAAATGTTTGGGCTTTAAGCCTTTTTTCGATAGCAGAAGAGAGACAGGAAAGGAGGAAAGAGAGGCCAATGCAATTAAAATATAATAACAACTCAATATTACACATGTTATTTGATGACATTATGCTATTTACTTAAATAAAAAATGGGGAGATTTGGTAAAATGATGTATCTAAAGTTGGCTTAGTTTTAATTGGCTCCGCCTTCATCAGATGCAATATGAAATGCTTATACATTGACGTTTTAGTATATTATAATAATATAATGTAATAAACATGGTTCTGAAACTAGCCACTATGCAGACTGACTTGTATCCAGTAGCTGACATGTTGTTGCTAATAAAGTTTTACTTAAGCAAACTTTGCTTGCTTGCAGGGGGGTATTTACACAGTTATACTTTTAACATATTTTATTACGCCTGCTTCTTAAACCTCTGGTTAAATCCAACAGTTCTGAGGATTCCTTTCACTGCCTCGGACTGTACAGTAACGCTTGTAGGCAGAAAAGAAAAGCAGAACGCGTGAGATTGGATTTATGATTTATTGCTTGACAAATGTAAAATAATGAAAATACCTTGAAGGGTGGTACCTGCTGCTGGATAATATATTAAAGTACCATCTTCAAGTGCTTATTTTGGCCATCCAGCAGAGTTCAAAAGCACCAACAGGAGTGAAGTCATCACTTTTTAACTAGTTTTTCTACGTATACATCGACATGTTTTTCACCTGCTTGCAGTTTTCGGGCCAAGCTAAGCTAGGAATTTAGTACGAGTAGCTTCATATTTAATGTAGAAATATCAGAGTTGCATCAATAATCTCATCTAACTTCTAAGAACAGTAAACAAGTTCATTTAAAAAAACTGAAAATATATGGTCAGTTAATAGAATTATTAATGGATCAATTGATGAACCTTGCTCTTGTGCTCCTCGAACAGTTGTATGTTGAGTTTGCTAGTCATTACACAAGACAGTTACAGCACCCTTATGATGCTGAAGCAGAGGCTCTCAGCCCACCACAGAGGGGGTGGGAGATGTAGCTTAAGATGGAGTTCAGTCGAGTCCTCATGCTTCCCTCCGCTGCTGCCTCCAGGCTGTCCAGAGTTTTTTTACACCAGTTTGTTTATCCTTCCTGCCTCCCCCGCTGTGGCGCTGCCTCCCAAGCACACCACTGTAAACAACAGAGGCTACTGGTGCACCCGGCAAACAGAGGATTTGAAATGTCAAGCGAATTATATAAAGACATTTTGAAATGTTGTTTTTACAGTTATTATCAGTCAACATGTCCATAAATCAGTCAAGCGAAACAGGGTTTTGCAGAGACAAAATCTGATTATGGTGGAAGAACATATATGCACAAGTTATATTGACTGCTTTAAATACTGCGGAGCCTTGCAAGATATTCAGTTTACTATGCCTTCTGTTCCACAGGTAAATTGCTCTCAACCCACTGTGCATAACAAACAACCTGCAGCCCTCTGACCTTTAAAAAGCAAACTTTTACTCCGTCTATTGTGCAATGAGTCTGCACTTTTTTAAAATGTATGTACATAATACACCATGAGTTTGATAAGTGCATGAAATTCAGATATGCTCTTTCACCGCTTTTTGTTAATGATGAAGTATTGACCATCTGTACGAGAGGCTTTTGAAGTATAAAATTGGTGCATAATGAGAATTTAGTTCAGAGGCGGTTTCAGCTCCACCTCACTCTTGCATGATTACATGTTAAATATTGATTATGCAAATGATTTTAAATTACATTAGGAGCTTAAATCATCTGAGCAGAAATCAAGCTTAACTTGTAATTGTCCTTTTCCAGTCTTTGACACAAAGTTAAACCGCTGTGTATATTGTGCAGTACATGATTCAAAGCATACGCGGTCATTAAACACAAGTTTAACTACACTTTCATTTAGACATTTCTGATGGGTTATCATCTTAATAACATTGTTTAAACAGCAAAGTTATAGGTGGGAATATATCTAAAGTGTGTCATACTTATTTCAATTAACAAACAGTCGGTTGGGTTAAATGTATTTTCTGTGAAGTCATTCATAATTGTACTCATTAGCTTGTACATCTATTTGTCCCCAGCCCATACTTTCCCCGACAAAGGGCCAACTAAGATAATAAGCCATGTAATTAAACCTGGCTGCAATGGTTTTTGGTATCAAGGAGAGAAACAGAAATAGATGCAGAACTAATTCCAGCTTTGTGTTGTGCCGAAAGAGCCTCAGATTAATATGTGCTTAAAAGCCAGGCCTCAGTAACATCCCTTTATGTGGGCCTAACTCTCTTTCTGTGCACTGACGGACATGAAAGAGCTCTCTGATGTTCTGACCTGTGAATTTACCGTTTGTTCATCCTGAAATAATGTATGTGCTCGTGCACAGCTGTTTTTTTTGTGAATTCGACCATATAAAGTTAACGCACTGTACCTCCATTGTCTACCTCTTCTGTGTTTGATCAATGTTTCAATAGCTGTAGCCCTTTGCTATGAAGCGCTGTGTGGAAAACTGTTTGTGAGTAATATAAAAGTGATTTACAGCAACCACACATAATTTAATTATGCCTTTAATGCCTGCCATAATTTACTTGGAATGTCAAGTTATTTTTACAACAAAGTAACAAGCCTCTGTTGTAAATCAAATATGTGATGTGTTGCTTTCTATTGCAAAGATACAAGATATTTAATGTACAATATATTAGACAAGAAATATCCTCACACTTGCAGCCAGGAAATACTTGCAGTCTTTGCATGACATACAATTTAAAAAATACAATTGTTATCATACATGAATAATGGATCAATCACAGTATTTACACAGAGAAACACACACAAACCAGAGCTTTGACAGGTTTCCCCGCTGTTACCCAAATGACTTGTGTACCAAATATTGACCATCATAAGTGACCCCGTCCCTTTCCTCCTTTATGCCACATGCCATAACAGCAAGACAGTTTTGAGGTGAGCCGACCTATCAGGGGTCGGACATGAGCTGAGGGGGAAGTGTCTGTGGCCCTTCAAACCCTGTTAGGCATAATAGCCAATTAGTGGTTCAGAAGGGAGGTGAATGTCAGCACATTGTTTTGATGAGTGTCACAGCAGCTGGATAACACACTACCTCAGCCTGGGGGAGGATCGCTGGGTTTCATATTTGATGGCATCTTATTACTGTAAGAATGCTGCCACCCAGGAGAGAACTTGACCAATAGTGATTATTAATGACTTGGTTTTGAAATGTGAATGCAAACAAGGATCATAAAACAGGTGTCAAGCTATAGATAGGGCTGTTGACTAACAGGTATCTGACTGTAACAGATTGCAAGGGAGGGAGAACCATTCATTATTGTAACAACCAATTTTGGAAGTTGTAATGGAATCTAACAAGATGAAGTAAATAACTGGCTGTGTATGTAATATCATTTTAACATTCCTCATAGCCTACTAATGTACAACATTTTACCAATCTGCAGGCTACTACATTTGTACTACTTTCTTTACTTTACAAACAGTATTTAATTGAACTAGGTTTCTGCAAACCAGGTTAGCTGTCTTAGGCTAATGTGATGCTAATATGCTTAATCGTAACTAATCATTGTCACGCTATCTTTCTTTGAAATGTTCTTCCATAAACTATACTGGTTAGGATGCGTGTGGCGCAGTGGGTTGTGCGTTGGTGTTCGGATCAGGTTCAAACTCCACTGCAGTCAGCATGCCGTTGTGTCCCTGGGCAAGACACTTCACCCCAAATTGCTCCTGTGGGGATTGCCCACAGTATTGAGTATGTAAGTCGCTTTGAATAAAAGCGTCTAACAAGTGTAATGTAATGTGGTTACGGTGCTTCTTCTTCGTATGGGGACTTAAAAGGAAGAGTTCAACATTTAAAAAAATATATGCTTTGCCTACTTGCATTCTTTTCGATGCACATGAGAATATTAATACCGATATCATGTTATGTTTACACAGTGAATATGAAGCTTTATCTTAGCTTAGCATGAAGACTGGAATACGGC